TTCCTAAATAAATGATTATAGTTATATATATGATAGGCCTTTCATATTTTGGGTTAACTACGTGTAGTTCTTTAGTTTAATAATCATGTCTGTCGACGTTGTTTTGAAATAATGCAGCTTGGAGTTTGATAATCCTGAAAGACCTGAATGTAACAACCTGCTTTCGATATATCAGCTTGTTACTGGCAAGACAAAACAGGTATCTAATAGAAGCCGTGCAATAATATCCGCCTGGTGTTTGTATCTGGAAATTCATTTGTTTATGACCTATGCTTAACCTTTTTGTTTTCATTTATCATGTCGAGCACTATGAATGATATAGTGTGAGAGTGATGAAAATCTATTATGTCTAGGAATCTGCCAAGTTTACAGCAAATAAATTTTCCACCAATATCTAATGTTTGAGATGAACCAATGGATGACTATGAATGAATATTCTTTTAATAAACATATTTGACTTACTCTGATGAAATATTGCATAACAAACCTTATTTTGAATTTGTTTTTGCAACGGTTGCAAGTGTTATTTTATGAAGATATATCATATCGATGCAGGAAGTTGTGGAGGAATGCCGAGATATGAACTGGGGAACATTCAAACCCTTGCTTACCGATGCTTTAGTCGATCATTTACACCCAATCCAGGTTTCTCTCTAGATTAACATGTTCAAAACATCTAAAATTGAATTAATTTATCTAATGCAAAATTAGTTGTGATTAGCTATTTGGAGCCATCTCTTGCAATTTCTACTGAGCCATGAGGAACATCACTGAGTAGTGTCTAAGTTTTCCAGTATACATATGAACTAATAGTGGATAAAAATAGAAATGAGAAAGAAAAAGCATTTCTCCACATGATCCTTTCTACACACATTTGCATTTCCTTTCCTTTTTTCTTGCCATCGATCTTCTTCATCTGGTGGATCTCAAATTTTCTTAAAATGAAAAAATGATTTTTAGCTCTGATTATGTCTGAATGGATGATCAACTACAAAAAATTCCCTAATTTCTCTACATAAACTGCTGCTGTAAAATCATATTCATTTGTCTTCACGATTAGTTATATAGATCCAGCTACCTTTCAGGTTCGCTATGCCGAAATTACATCCGACCCCACTTATTTGGACGACATTTTGGCCGATGGTGCGAGTAAAGCTACATCCATTGCAGACGTAACTCTCAATAATCTTTACAAAGCAATGGGATTCTTACAAAGATGAAGAATAATCGGCTTGTCTCAACGAACGAGACGAAAAAGGTCAGTGTCAAAGCTGCTCCAAAACAGCTGAATACCGGGTGCTAGGGCTTATATCCCGATAATCTTGATAATTTATGGCTTATAATGCTGAGATCATTTTTTTCCTGGTGAGAGAAGAGTTACTTATCATCATGAAAAGGCTCCTAATTTATTTTACTAGCTGTTTACATGATTGTGTCCGATTTATAATTTAATTTTTCATGATATCATGATGGCGCTTATAATTGGTTAAATGACAGATATTCAAGTTGGCCTATTTAGCTTTCATTGTTAAGCCAAATTTTTGAGGAGTTGTAAAAATGATTTGCATATAGCGTACGGTTAAACTTCCGTATTTTTGCTGAATGGTTGTTTTATTGGCTCTCTCTCTCTCCCATAGTCTCCTTCTCGTACTTTGTACGTGTGTTGTCTGTTAAAATTATTCTGTTATTGGCTGGCTTAAGAAAACGAAATTCGTTCTGGCCCCTGCGCGATCTCTCTCTCTCTCTCTCTGTTTCTCATGTGTGTATGTGTGTGAGAGAGGGAGAGAGTGAAAAGAAAAACTATCCACTCGAACTCGTTTTTTCTGGATTTTTTTATTAAAGCGCTAACACATTTTGAGATGGAAATTATTTCTAGTGGAAAATAAAGGACATGGCAATTTGGCATTAACTCTAGAATGGGACTTCACAGAGTTAGCAAAGTACCATGAATATACTTCATCGATGTTTCTTTGTCCTAATGAAATTTGATCCAAAATCATTAGACGGGAAAATTCTTGAAGTATCAGAGTTATTTTTCACGCGATTTAAATTTGTGAAAGGTATTCCCTTAATTGATCAAACGGTAATGGATATGTGGACTTTAGTACGACTACAAGTACTTATTTAGACGTCGGTATGCACTCGAGTATGTTAATGAATACTCGGATAATTACCTAAAGCTGGAAATTTAATCCAACGTGAGCACATAACTCGTCTTTAAAATCGCAAAAAATATCTTTATCCTTGGATTAGCCTTAATTGATAACTTGCATATCAACAATATCAGAACAAGGGAGATTCCATCGTGTAGTTATTGTTAATAGCACTGCAGTTCCATGGATTATTTCACCGCATTTTCAGAGCACACCAAATCACTTTAAAGCAAAAACACATTCAACCAGACAATTTTTTTTTTTTTCTAAATAACTCTATTTAGTGCGTGACTTGCAAAGGAAAATAAGAACGAAATGTTAGTTCAACTTGAGGTCCACTAATAATTCTTTCCTAGAAGAGTTTACCTGGGCACAGGATTTTACTTCATAGATAAACATATCAAATGAGGTTAACGATGCGTGCTTGGAATTAAAATGTAGTAGGGCTGGCATGGAATTGGATTCTGTGATAGTGAACGGCAGGTTTGAGGGAGTGGGCTGAGGTAGTCGCGACTGGGTTTATGTAGGAGTGGGCTGGGGTTTTGTATGGGCTACAGGGAGGGAGATGCGTTTGGGCCTGGGGATAGGCCCAGTTAGAGAAATGGATGAGTGGCCCAATAGAAGATTGGGTAGAGTAGCTAATTTGGTAGTGGAGATAGATTCTGAAATCCTGACGGGTAAGTGGAAAGCAAGGACAACACCGACAATCCGAGATCTAGCGTCAAAAAGGAAATGAGATATGTAATTTTCTTTAAAAGGCTCTACCAAAGCCAGCTCGAGGCACAACTAGACACGTTCTTTAGCGGGCCACTAAAAAAAAATCCTAGTGGTCTAAATTCGTTTCGACTTTTGACAAAGCCTACACATAATCCAACAGGCTCCTCTGTACAACTATACGATATATCCAATATAGGGAAGTGGATAAAAATTGGAAAAATAATAAAGCAGCACTATGGATAAAAAACATATGAAAAAATAAAATAAAATGACATCGGCTAAATTGCACACCATATCAACCTATTCAATTCAAGAGCTGAAGGCTAGAATATCTTTCATAAGCGTCGACAAACTTTTGATAGAAGTAGAACAAAAGAACAAAATTTGGCACAATCACACACAATAAGGTTGATATGAGCAAAGTGAAAGCACAAGCACTAAAAAGGTCTTCAATGTTTGCTTGAGCCCAAGATCACTTTGATGTTAATTGGATAAACCGGTGGTTTAAAAAAGGGGGGCACACAAGCATCAGCATATATATATATATATATATATATATATATATATATATTTTT